ACACACACCTACACACACATACACTCTTAACCACACAGCTGAAAGCCAAGTGCCCCAGGAGCCAGTGAAGATTGAAAAGCCTCCCATATTTGCCGGCATGACATCTAAAAAGCAGAGACGGGCAGGCTGGCGATTCCCCACAGCTGAGCTGATGTTTATTCAAGCCTGATGCACTGCTGCATTATTCTATTTTCTTCCCCTTCAAACCTGCCTGCTGTTTATTTAGAGAGTAATTCTCTTTAGATCAGAGCAGAAGAAGTGTGCCACCTCCACTGTGTAGATGTAGTCAGAGAGTTTGGTTTCAGTCAGAGGTTAAAAATAAAGACCGACATTCCAAATCAATCTATATATTCAGTGTAAATTATGTACATAAATAAATATAAAATCTGTATGTAGTCTTATTGCATTATGCTGTATATTATACAGTGCACAAATATGCTATGTGTTATTGTGTGTGTGTTTTTTTTTTTTGTACCATGAAGTGAGCTGAAGAAGTAATGATGGTTGGAGAGAAATGGTACAGCTGCTCATCTCCTCTTTTTGTACCAGAATATGACACCTCCTGTTTTACAATATAAATTATGTATGTACGATATATAAGCTGCTGTAATATGCTGGTATTGGTCTTTTATACATTAAAGTGAAGATGTGATTTAACTCTAGTTTCTGTTTTTCCCGCTGTGTAAAATACTAATGTACAACAGTTTAACAATAACAACTAAATCATGTTTATGGTACAGATGTTTTTGCAAGCACTTTCCATTTGTCACAAAAGCACTATAAATGCCATTATGGTGTAAATTTGTATTTATATGTGGCTGTTATCTCTAACAGAGCAGCCCTAGCAATGGCCTTTGCAGTTCAAAGGTTTCTGTGGTGCTTAAGTCTGGCTCTGAATTAATTTTCCGAGCCTGGGGGTTAATACAAATCCTCATTACTCTTAAGTGTGGATGCTCGAGCCGGATGCTCTCCGAGCCAGAGACACACAGCGGCAGGTTGAAGCATTCACAAGGTGAAACAAGTGTGCGAGGAAGAGGGATGCTCACAATTTACAGATACTTTAACCTCAGGACAGCTACCAGTAGCCAACTGATTCACTCTGTTATTTATTGCGGGGGAAGCTTTAAATCATAACCAGCTCTGACAAACGGCTCCCGGTGGCGCTGAGAAATGACACCAGTGACCTTGTCTTGCCGCCTTAACAGCACCTGAGTCCATTATGCCTGATAGGAAGAAGGAGACAGAAAGTGCTGGTTATCCGGCTCCACATGTTAGATATCCAAATGTAGAAGTAACCTGAAGTCAGACATGCAGCTGCACATTTTACCACAGTATCTGTTGTACACCGGTGCACACATCTGCATTTGTGAGTCAGTCATTATGAACTTA